AACCCAAGGTTATAAAATGAATTGGTCCCGGTCCCATCCCCCCCTTTTTTGGGTTTTTTTTTATAAAGTTTTTTTTTTTTTTTTTTTTTTTTTTTTTATGTGACCGGTTTTGATCACTGTTTGATGTACGAATATGAACTCCTTATCAAAACACCCAGGTAAAGAGGATGGGAAGACGTGTAAGCGTGTGGCCATTCGGACCACCATTAGGAAGGACGACTGCAGGAGCAACGCACCAGTAAGAGCCACTAAATGAAACGCGCAAATATAGAATGACACGGAGTGATTGGTGAAAAAATATTTTAAAACGACAGCGATGTGTTCCCAACTTCCCACTTGTGTCCTCATCAGGTTTTGCTCCTTTCCTTCCAGGTTACAGTGTATTCATGTGATGGAAAATGTCCATCTGCCACCATATTCAACTTTAACATCAACAGTCACGCAAGGTTCTGTAAGTGCTGCCGTGAGAGTGGACTACAAACACGGACCGTCTCGTTGTACTGCTCTCGGAACGCCAGCATGGTGGACTACAACTTCCAGGAACCTCTTGACTGTTCCTGCCAATGGAACTAGAAATATGAATAAGTGTGTGACCAACATAAAATTATTTTTTGGGGGGTGCATTTGGATTAATATTGTAAAACTGGCCAACCATGAATAAAAAACAGCCATTTTTATTTTATTTTATTTTACTTTTTTATGATAGCCGACTGGCTTGTGTCGCAGTTTTGATAGAATTATTGATGCGAGTCTTCCAGTAGTTTTGTCTGCACTTTAGTTGTGTATTTTATTAAAACCAGCTCTGTGAACCCCTGTCAGTTTTACTTGGGCTTCCAGATTAGTTGTGCATTTTTTTTCTGCATATCAACAGCTAATAGGTTAAAACAGCAGTTCCTACATTGATACCAATGTTGTATTCAGATTATAAATTGGCATTTTCTTTGCATTATCTGATAAATATAACTTTGTGGTGTGGTTCTATAGAAAATTTAAGCAGTTGTTTTTTTTTTTTGTTTTTTTTTAAAAGTAAATCTGTGTAATAAAGGACTTGATAGTGCTTATGTCTCAGTTAATGAGCCCAGATAACACTTTTCATTGCATGCATCCTCTTTATTATACACACATGGAAGTTGATATTTTTTTATCTGTCAATTATTTATCTTTTTTTGATCATTACTGTCATTCAGTATGGGCCACCGGTTCAAACTCTGAATAGGGTGACAGATAAATTTCAGCTTTGGAGGCTGGATAATATTGTAAATAACTGCAGCCTTTTTTCCAACGAGCACATCCCAATCCCGACGCCCTCTGCACCACATGTTCTGCAGCTCAGCACCCTGTGTCCTCCTGGTTGTCATGGTGAATTGTTTTTAATCTCAACAAGGAGGCAGAGTGAATTGGCTAAGACTAACAAATTCTCAAACTCCCACCTTCAGACACCAAATACCTTTATGCGTCCTCCCCCTCCTCCTCCAGCTAACGAGAAACTTAATGCTTCTTGTGTGAAACCTTTACTCATTTGTACATGCTAAATTTAAAATTTAGATGCTGCATAAAGGTAATTTAGAACAAAGTTGTAGCTTCCAGACAGTTTTAGAAAATAAATCATTCCACCCAGGGAACTTGACATTCACTGTGCGTCAGCGACTTGGATAGCATGGGACTTTCCACAGGAGATGCTTACATACAACAGCTTCAATGGGTTTTCATATAAAGCCCATCAATGGCTGGAAACACCATTCGGATTGGACTGATGAAGGCACTCTGCTCTAGGTGACTGATAATGAAAGGAGACTCTTGTGGGATGTATGATTATTTTGAAAGTGATTCCCAATGACTCAAACAAAGCATCTGTTTCTGCTTTGCAGTTTATGGCAGGTAAGATTATTACGTATATATATTTTTTGCTTCTTTGCCTCAACATTTTCTAATGTCAAAGAATTAGTTTGCACTTTTCACAAGTTTTTCACAAGTTGTGAGGTTACAACCATTTTTTTTTGTGTGCGTATGTGTGATTTCTGTGGACATATTTGATCACAAAGCAGTAAATAATAAGCTAAAATAGTTCTGAAAGAGTTAAATTAATTCTAATTCTGAAAAGGACCTAATAGACATAGCAGATTGCTTATTTTAGAATTTGCTGCCATCTGTAAAATCAACAAAACAGGATTATAAAATGAAAAGTGAAGACTCCGGGGTTCAAATCCTAACCTTGGGACCTTCGCTGTTTCCTTCTCTGCTCATTTCCTGTCTGATTTTTGTCAATAGAGGCTGCTAGTGCCACAAAATCTTTTTAAAGAAAACCCTTTTTTTTCCTTCCACTCCACAATTATGCACTACTTTGTGTGGGTCTATCAAAGCAAATGATGAAATAACACAAAGTTGTCGCAATGTGACAAACTGTTCAAGACCTTTGTACGGCATTGCACCAATAGTTACTTTTGTGAAAATTACAGGTAGTTTTGTTGACCTGTGACCAACATTCACATCCTGTTGAGATTGAAGTTGCATTTGAATCCTTCCCCTCTAACTCAGAGGCAGACAGCTACACAGTCACCTGCAGGCCTGCAGGTAGCCTGTTGGTAAGAAGAGCTCTTTAACATATGGAATCCAGGAGCTCAATTTATTCTCATTTCCATCTTTTACAATGGGGGTATTTTAATTTCTCAATCTCAACATTTCTGGCAGATCTTCTCAAAGCGCATTGATCGCTCAGCATGCTCTCCTGACTGCAGGATACGATTACATACGAGTGACGACCATAGGGGGTACAGCATCGTGCTGAGAGCAAGAAGGAACGATTCAGTGCTGGAGACAAAGACCTTTCACTTCAGTGAGTGTCTCTAAACTGTAGACTTAAAGGAATGTTTGTGTTACATTTAATTGGTTTCTACACAGACAGTGGTTTTCCTGTTAAATCGGTTTAGTTTATTTGTAAAGATGAGGTTAATCATGTTTGTCTCTCCAGTTCCAGTATCCCCTTCCTCTTTTTGTGCATCCAGCACCAAGTCTACTGCCCAGTTGAAATGGGAACCACTTCACAGACAGCAGAGCATTTCCACCTTGACTCTATACAACATGCACACCCGGTCTGTCACTGGAATCTATAGCAGAAGCTCTTCGGTGATCCACTCCAAGTTCACAATAAAAAATCTCCAGCCTGGCACACATTACATGGTTGAAGTCACGGTGGCCATTTTCCTCCCTCATCCTGGCATCACACTAATGCAGAAACTCAGGATTTTTGTGGAAACAGGTATTGTACTCTCCAAGAATCACAAGACAGCAGCTTCATCTTTAGCCAGAAAGCTGACTGTTTGGAGGCTTACCAGTGTGCTCCGTTCTTATGATAATGTCTGGCTGCAGATCAGTGTCCAGATGGGTGGTTGGCCAATGGGAGGAGTTGCTACACTGTGAGGAGATCAGGTTTGAGTTGGAGTGATGCGTTGAGCAGCTGCACACACCTGGTGGGGGGAAGCCACCTGGCCGACCTGAAGACCACGGAAGATCTGCTGTTTGTATCTTCTTACCTCCAGAGCGACAACCACCTGCTGTTGCTGTGGACAGGACTTAATGACCAACAGGTAACCTGTTTTACATAAACATGGTTCTGGAATGTGGAATGTAAAAACATAGGTTTGTTAAGAAACCTACAGAAAACCCTGAACAGTGCAGATCATGTCTTTGATTCTGGGATTCTTACATTGCCTTGAGACATGAAATTTAGGACACAAATATAGAATATAAGCATACATTTACTTCAACGATAAGGCTGAGATATTTTTTTTCACACAACTAAATACATAAAGCTCTGAATTTTAGCCCAACCAAAGTATATTTTATATTTACTTTTAATTTGACGAGTTCAGTTAAATTCTTAGTTTGGCACATGTATTTCTGTGAATAAAGTTTAACATCTTTTAACAATGAAAAATACTAAAGCTGGGAAACTGTTCATTAAAAAAAAAAAAATCTAAAGTACATTGCATTACATTTAAATTTCATCACTTTTCATTACAATCAAAACAAACCAAAAACATGACTTCAGTGTATACTATAGTAAGTTTATATGACAGACAAGCACAAAGTAATGAAGAATCGTGAAGTGCTATGGAAAAGAATACAAAAATTATTTTAACGTGTTTTAAGATGATAGGCTGAAAATTATCATTTACATTTGTATTTATCCCCAGAGTAAATATTTTGTAAAACACCCTTTTCACTGTAACAACATGATCTGAAAATCTTTTGGCTTCATGTGCCAGCTTTCTTCACATGGACATTGAATGTTTTGCCAGTTCCTCTCTATGAAATCATCTAAGTCTCAGTGGTTGTAGTTCTACATGTTTTGCTACATGTTCTCAACCGGACTGAGGTTCTCAAAATTTAATTCTAGTCATTTTAAGCACAAAACAAGAGTCTTTGGCACTTATTTCCATTCAACAAATCAACTATATAAAATTGAATTACTAGACAGTTGAAATTAGATGCTGCCATTTTGAAAGCATCAAAGTTGTCACTGAAGTTTTAGGAAGCGGGCAAGATTAGTTTGCTTTACAAACCGTAAAAGCTTCATGCCTGCAGTTCCTCCTTAAAGAGGAGGTTTGTTTTTGATGCATTAATTAGTGGTTAGGTCCATTCAGCACATAATGTCTCCCCATCTCCCAACAGGAGGAAGGCCTCCCACTCTGGTCTGATGGCTCGCCATATAATCAGACAAACACTATGACTCTGCTGCCAGCCAGTCAGACGGACTGTTTTGCTTTTCAGAGGAATGCTACGGGACCGGGCTACTTCCTGACTCCTTTCTTCTGTGACATCACTTTGCCATTCATCTGCCAATACCAGAGTAAATTGCGTACACAGTGCTTCTCTACTAACCAAATCCTGCTGATTCTACTGAATATCGCTTAACGACCTGTATCATCATTTTTACAATTTTTCCTCTTCAGATTTCTTCATGCTTGTTGCTTGTGATACTTACATTTATTTCCATGACAGGAATTGAGAAAAATGTGAAACAAAAAGCAATGATGCCTATGTCTGGAGCCTCGAACATAGGCATCATTACATGAAAGTCTCCATCCAAGGCAAAAGCAGAGATAAAGTCTTCCGCTCCAAGTTGATTTTAGATAATGAAGAGTCATCTTTTAATTTATTGAGGAAGAGTGAAGTGATAAGGTGTTTCTTTTAGAACTGTAGCTTGGAGACTAAACAAACTAGCACTTTGTAGAGGGATCTACAAGCGCAGTCTTCCTGTAATTAACCACACAACAAATAAAACTTGTGCTCCAAATCTTACCAGCACACTAACTCTGATCTGGCTGAAATGTTTTGCTTCATAAAGTTTGTTTTAAAATTACTTATGACTCTTCTTTGATTTATTCAAATGTTGGATTTTTTTTTCTACCTCTAAAATATGACATACATGTACTTTAAGCACATACTTTCTTGTGTCACTTACAGTTAATAAGAACTAGGAACAACACTAAGCTGTAAAACAATTAACTCTTAGGTGACTTATATGCCTCTTCAGTCATTCACATATCTATTTTCCCATCTAACAGCTCCTTCAACTCCTGCATCATTTTCATTCGACCTGGCTCAGGTGACAGACCAGCATGTAGAGCTTCGATGGAGTGACCTTTCACCCCTGCGCTCTACTCATTCTTCATCTTTTGAGATATTCCTCCAGTATAGAGAAAGTGAAAATGCCCTTTCGGGTCACGGTGAAGAAGATGGATGCAAGGAGTCAGAGGGGAGAAACGGGAGGAAAACCCAGTCGAGTTTCAGAAAAACAGTCAAAGTTCCGATTCTTCACTCCTCCAGAGGGGTAACTGTGACAGGTTTGTCCCCGGGGAGCATTTACTTTTTCACCCTTCGGGTCTCCCACCATGCTGGCCTCAGCTGGATCTTGGGACAAACACAGACCGCATACATGAGTGAGTCTGCTGACAACTTATCACATACGTAGGCAACAAACACATTATGCAAATACGTGCTAACGTGGAATATTTATGCCTGCAGGACCGCTTCCTCCTCAAAACATCTCTGTTGGATCGATAACGGCTAGTCACATTACTTTACACTGGATGCTGCCGGACACTCAGTGCACGGCTGGATGGACATTTGCTGTACACTGTGAAGATGTGTCCTTGCGACAGGAGAGAGAAGTTAGCAACATCTCCAGGGTCTATGGGACCAACAGGAAGTGGTTCTACACAGCTATGATTGGAGGACTTGACGCCTACACGAGATACAGAATTCAAGTCTTCACAATTGCACAGTTTGGAATATGGAGTTGCGGTCAGGCACCTCTAACTGTGCGGACTGGTAAGCATGTTTGAAACAAAGGCAATAACTGTTACAAAAAAGGCCTTTGGGAAAAAAAATGTTATCCAAAAAATTATGACAGCTTTAATATTGCTCAAAAGTGGTTCAAAATAGTACATTGTGATTCTTGGAAGCAAAATGTCAAGAAATGAGAAGTTAGCTCCAGAGTTTTGCACAGAATTGTGTCGTAACATAATGGATATCTATGCAGAATTAAATTTCTTTATTTTTGAATTTTGAATTTATTGCTTTCATAAAGGTCCATGTTAAAGAGGCTCTTGTTAGAATTGTGTGCATAACTTCCAATCTCAAGTTTTTTGTAAGTCTTTGACATGCAGATTTTAGCCAATCTAGATCTCTCTTTAACAACTATATTGTAGGAAGATATAAAACACTGTTTCTAATATTTTTTGTCAAACCACAGTGATGTGTTGACCACCCATCAGTAGAATGAGGAGAAATGTGTTGTTTGAGAGAGGATTTTCATTAAAAATCTGTATTTTTACTTTTATTTTAAAATAAGGATATTGGATAAATTCAACTGCCCTTGGCTTCCTATTTTAGTAATTAGCATCGCTAGCATAACTACAATACAGTGCCTATAAAAAATATTTTGACGATAAAATAAAACATATCCTCTTCAATTTCAAACTGAAAAGTGAGTTCTGCAAAAATATAATGATAAAAGCATTTAACTTATAATAAAAGACTGCATATTAAATGGTATTTCGTTGATGCACTGTTGACAACGCAGGGTGGTTGTGAGTAGGCCTCAGTCGACCACTCCAGAATATCCACCTTGTTGTCTTCAAACTCTTTCTGCGTAGCTTTATCTGCATGCATCAGGTCATTGTCTTGCTGGAAAATAAACATATTTTGAAGCTGTAGTTCTCCTGCAGAGGGAAACAAGTTGCCCCGTCAGGATCACTTTGATCATGATTGATATAAAAAAAAAATAAATAAAAAAAAATCAAGAAAACATTTTCAAACAGAGTTTACTTTTAGATATTTACATTTTCGTATGCTTAAATTTACTGCTGAAAAAAAAAAAGAATAATGCTTTCTGTGTATCCCTTAGCGGTAAAGCCTCCTGCTGATCTGGTGACGTTTAGCAAGAATGACCGCCTGTCAGCTTGCTGGACAGTTCCGCCTAGCGATCCTCCAGATGCATATTACGTGACAATCCAGTCGTTTAATAGTCCTGCTGCTTCTTCGCTATGGATAAACGGCTCCAGCGCTGATGGACTCGGAAAAGATGAATCCATTTGTGTCAATTTGGGCACATTTACTCCTAGTCACACATATGAAGTAGCAGTCGTTGCCATGAGGGGAAATGACAGAAGCGAGAGGTCCATTACTGTCTACACCACAGGTGAGAGAAACAAAAATGCAACCCATGATAATACAAGCCATTTATAAAAGGTGTTTTAAACCCTTGTGTTTGTCTCTGTGGATGCAGCTCCAATGCCTGTGCAGGTGGCAGTCCCTCTAACTGTGGGGACAAACTACACACAGCTGTATGTTCAGCCTCCACGGGTGGGTCTGATTGATGGGGTGAAAGTGTGTTCGTGTCTTGGCGTTTGCAACAGGACATGTAAGGAATTGTGTGACTACACTTGTGACTGGCATTCCCTCCCCACTGGCATTTTCATTGCAACCATCAGCAGCCTTACTCCAGGATCACAGTACCAACTCAGTGTGTACAGCACTGTTAAGGAGAGAGTGGGGCCACCGTTCTACACCCGTCCTATTAAAACAAGTAAGTTGCCTACCAGCAATAACAATATTTTGTTTTGTTTTTTTCACTCCATGTATGTTTTTTACTTAAAAAAAAAAAAATGACCAAACTAATTTTACAACTCCCCCCACACTTTTTGATATACCTGGTAATGATGGGTAAAAATCTTTAAAATAAATTCATCTTTCATTATAGCATTATCTTATTCAGAAAAAACAACAACATGTAGTTCACTAAATCTATTTCAGAGAAGATGGTTCTACACATATTGGCACTTCTAGCAAAAAAATAAACAGCTTTATTGGCAGTTGGGAGAATTATGTAAAAAATTTTAAATTTCTCATATCAAAAACATACCTGGAGTGTGGTTTTGATTCTTTCATGTGTATTGGAGGAATCTTTGAATCTCAAAATGAGGGCAGAATTATGGTGTGCTGCTCTCTTTCAGGAGTTGGGCTTGATCCATCAACTCTAGCGGAGGGAAATCTTAATGTTTCGTCATACCAGGGCTTTTAAATAACCTTATGAATGAGTCCTTCGTGTCTAAAGTGGCTGAGCACAAAGCAAGATTGAAAAAAGACATGGATAAGCGAGTTTGGTCTATCCAACTCAACAGAACACCTTAGAGATTAATTAGAATGGGAAATGAGAGTTTGTCCTTCTTGTCAGACATTAGTGTCTGACCGCACAAATGCACTTCTGCAGGATTGATTAAAAAAAAATGTCCATAAAGACTCTCCTACACCTTGTGGACATCGTTCCTAGAAGAGCTGAAAATGTTAAAACTACAAATGCAGGGCAAACATCTTATTTGAATGGGATGTCATTCAAATTCAAGTGTGTGCAAAGGAAGATGAGCAAATACGTTTGGCTACCGAGTGTATATCATTTTGGAGTTAACACATAAAACTCTAGGTTCTGCGTAAAAGCTTGACGCGTCTTTGCTGTTGCATAAGAAAAGCACTGTTGCCACAATATTTGCCAGTTCCATTGAATTTAAAAATCTCACCTTTCCTGTGATTGGAAAGAAATCTCATATCACATGAAATCAACTGTGATACAAGACACATGATACTGCAACATTTGACTGATGCTGCTACATTTGACTGAGATTAAGTGTCAAATAAAAATATGTTTTATAGTTTCTACGTGTGCTTTCATGACAACTAGATAGAAAAATAAATTGCACCCGGTACACCATTGTCACCATCTATATTTGGCACCAGTCTTTTTTCTTTTCTTTTTTTTTTTTTTTGCTTCATCATTTCATGCAACTGTCACTAACCAGATTTAAAATTTAATCTGGCCTAATCTTGGGAGCGGATCACATCTGCTTCATATCTTTGAAGATTTGGAGTGAAGTGATAGAATGATAGAGGATTTAGAAAATAATGGAAATACGCATTTTCTTTTTTTTTTAGGTTTTGCTATGTGTTGTAAGACTTAGCAGTACAATTTACAAGATATGTCTTATTATAAACCAGGGGGCTGTTTCACAGACAAAAAAGATTTATTTTTCTTTAAACATAAAATAAAAGTTACTCTTTTTGCTTTAAATGTTGCACAAAAAGTATTTATCTTGTTTGTTTTTCCTTTAATATTTTTCAGTGTGTTATAAGAAAAATTACAATGCTCTAGTGCGTGTTTTGTGATGATGTGTTTGATTTCAGGTCTGGTTCCACCCAGCAGAGTGAGGGAAGGAGCGGTGACGGACACATCCATAGAGCTGCTTTGGGATCCAGCACCAGGAAAGGGTCAGAGCTACGAGGTCATCTGCCACAACTGTGACCAGGCACTCAAGGTGAATAAATAAATAAGTAAATAAATAAATGAATGAATGAATAGAAAATGTAAATGTTTTCTCATGTTTGGAAGCAGATCTGTAAAAATGGATTATTACCCGCATTATGCAATGCCCCTTTTGTCATTGTTGGATTTCTATGATTAGCTGATTGCATGTTTTTATGCATAACATTTCAATATGGACACAAATACAATGTTTTGTTCCTCAGTAATTAGTTCTCTACTGTAATTATTACAGCATTGGCCTATTTGATTTGTGTGTTACAGGTACAGAAGGTATTCAGTCAGAGTGCAGTGTTTTCTGGTCTGACACCAGGTTCACTCTATCACTTTGCTGTACGGGCAGAGAAGGAGTCCTTTGCTGACAGTCCACCAGTCTCAATCAATATCACTGCAGGTAAACACACGCATGCGCGTGCGTGCACACAAACACACACACATTGTAACAGTTCATCTTCCTTTTCTATAACGACCACATGCTTTGCTTTTTGATGTGGCAGTTCCTGGCCAAGTGGAGGTTTCACTCGTCAATAAAACAACATCATCCATATGCATTAGCTGGAGTACCGCCAGAGGACTGCTGAGCTCATTCATTCTGTCTATCAAAAACACAACAACCATTCAGGAGCTGATCATTTCTCATCAGGAGCGCAGGCCAGTCTCTTCTCATTCTGCCACAATCAAAATTAATATGAACCCAGAGTTGTTATCGCTGACTGAAACCTGTTCCCTAAAAGACTGACTGCCAAAGCAATGTGTGTGTGTGTGTGTGTGTGTGCATGTTTGTTTACAGATCATACAATTTCCAAGGTCTTATTCCTGGTACCAAGTATACGGTTGAGGTGTTTGCCACCAATGGGGAGAGGAGAAGTAAACCTTCTACTGTAATTCTGTATACACGTGAGTTAAAATGTGTCTGTTAAAATCTGCAGGTGTACAGCAAAGCCCAAAATTACATATACGTCTGGCAGATTCTGGCTTAAAGTAATCTTGTGATTTTACCAACATGGTTTGTCTGACTGGAATTTAGAATCTGAGAGAAAATCTGTGGAGGGAGCTAAAAATTAGGGTGATGGAAAGGAATCCTTGAGGCTTCGAAACTTCGAAGCTCATCACTCAGAGATAAATTGCCCAAATTACCAGTGAAAACATGGGAAAAAATATTAGGGATTGTCTGTAGCTGTAATCCTAATGGAAAATAAAAAGCAATAAAAAAAGAACTAAATGGAAGCAGATCACTTTTTTTTTTTTTTTAAAAAATTGTGTTTTTTTTGCCTTTTTTATTATCTTATGAGAGATAGCTCTCATATCCTATCCAACACAAACTTCTTGGTTCAAGGGTGATAATTTTAAATCTACATTCGCAAGAGGTAACTGTCTGCCTGCACAAATGTGTTATCTTTGCATTTTCACATTTTCAATATGAACATATTTCTTGTCTCCAGTTCCAGGGATGCCAAAGCAAGTGGTTACATCAGAGCACCCAGTGACGTCTGTATTTCTGACCTGGAGGCCGCCAGCAGGACAGGTAGACAAGTACAAGGTGAGATGTTGAATCTGCCGAATCTGTCCAAGAATTCACTTGAATTTCACAGAAGATAATCCAACTTTTATGACTTCAAGAAAAAATAATCCTGGTGTATTTGGTATTCCTAAACATCTATGTCAAAATATAACACTCAGCTGTGACCTGCAAGTATTAAGTGGTTGCCAGGTAACCGCTGTTGGCACACTAAGGATCTGGTTACAACCCTTTAAAGATATATGACCTTCAGATTCAGCCAAGAACAATAACTAAGCACAATGTAAAAAAAAAAAAAAGCAATTAAAATAAAGATGGATTGTTCAAAAAATCTTGAATCAAGAGTACACAGAACTAACATTTTCACTGTCATTTGTTAAAAGATTATTTTTTTAAATAAAATTCTAACACTGAAGTTCTCTTCGGCAGCTTGCATTCGGTCTGTTGTCCGTGGACAGGAAATTGTGGACTGGAGTGTTTGTTGAGAGCACAAGCTATGAGATCAGAGAGTTGATCCCAGGGTCAGACTACGGTGTCAGCATTCAGAGTGTCCTGGGCTCAGACAGCAGCTATGCAGCAAACAGAGAGTTCAGCACACGTAAGCAACAGAAATGCACACCCTGGCCTAGTCTATAACTCAGGGAATTTCTCTAAAAAAATATTTGAAAAATGTCCTAATTTCAGATTTGTCTCCCAGGCCCTGCGGGATTATGCCGACTTCATTTAGATAAAGTGGATTCTTCATCCATATCTGTGCATTGGGACGGGGCGCCCGGAGAGTTTGACTTTCACAGAGTGACCGTGGCCGGCGCTTCGATCACACAAACACTCATAATACCGAAAGGGGAGCAGGTTGCTGTGGTTACAGGCCTGCTGGATGGTTGCAGCTACAACGTGAGCGCCAAGAGAGTGAGAGGGGAGACAGCAGGAAGTGCTGCTTTTCTGACTGTCACCACAGGTAGTTATGTCAAGGGCTTCGCCAATTAGTCTCCCAGTTAACCATGCCCGACCTCAACGAGTCTACATTAAATGACAGAAACGTTCTCCTCCACTCTGACCCCGTTTCTTATATTTATGTTTCTTATTAGTGCCAAAGCCTGTGAGGGGTGTGCGTTTGGTCAGCAGTTCTGGACGTGCATTCTCACTACGCTGGCTGCAAGCAGAGGGGTGTGTGGATCGCTACCAAGTTAACTTGGTGCCAGACCATGGTGCAGTGACCATTCACCCTACCTACGATGGATACATTCAGGTACACACACTTTAAATGAAATCATAGGAAATATACAGTGTTTTTTTTTTTTTTTTCTAATAGGTGTTAGCACAGTCACTTCGCTGAATGTTGAGGGGTTTTTTTTTTCTTTTACATTTTTTTTTTAATTTTGAGAATTTAGTGCAGATAAACATATCCCTGTGCACAGTGAAGCATCTCTCCTCCCATTCAACCAAGTCCCACCCCATACCGACTGCCAGGTATCCAGTATCTCCCAAAATGTAACCTTACACACCACACACATGCATACACACGCATGGAGATAAAACACAGCGTAGGGCTGAGTAATGGATCGCATTATTTATTAAGTTAGCTTCATGAGCTCAGCTCTGAATCATTCATTAACTTAAGCAACTCTCCCAAAAGAGGCAAAGAGACAAGAGGTATAGCTTTAGCCTTGTGCTAATCAAAGGATTTACAAAAATTTTGGAATACCTCAAGATCAAGATATTATTATTTTCACCCAGTGTCTAGACGACCAATGCTTTAAGTTGTTCTCTACCGCTAACTTTTATCCACTAAGACTGGACACAGACATACTGAGAAGGGCTTTGACCTGCTGTGGCTAAACAAAAACTAACTCCAATACCCTGCAGTATGTTGTTCTTCTCAGCAATTTTAATGCTCACAGTCAAACTCGGAAAGGTGTACTCACAGGTAAGAATTCCCCTCTTAATATCTGCAGTTTTTCACATATTTCATCATTTGCAACAACACAGCTAACAACTGTGTTTTTAGCTGCGTTGAGTTTTACTGAAATGTTTTACTGAAATGTCATAGACCAAGACACCATCAAGAACAAGATTTAGAAAGTGTAAGGAAAATGTTTTTGACATTGAGTTCAAGCCCTTTACTTTGATAGCCCTAAATATGTCCAGTATAAACAACTGGCCTCAAAAGTCACTTAGTCCATAGCATCCACCTGTGTGTACGCCTCAGGTTTGTTAGAGAACATTGGAGAATAAAAAACAGACAGACACAGCAGATAGGTCAGGGATAAAATAATTTAGTACTTAAATGCAGGATCAGGGTATACGTACATGTATGGAGGACCAAAACTGACATAATAAGAAATAAAAGCATAAATATATATTTCGTTTTTCCTTGTCCTTGCACATGTGTTGATGTCAAGTAATTTATATGTTTTGTTTTTCCATTCCTTCATACATGCACTGTCATCAAAAAATTTATATTAATTTAGCTTTTCCTTACATTTGTGTTTTCGTCAAAAAATGTATATTTCTTTTTCATTTCCCCTGAACGCGTTTTTTTCCAAGAAAAGTAGATCTTTTGTCATTGACTCCTCTCCTTTTTCTGCTTCTCCTTTTCTACTTCTCCATGTGCATCTTTATGTTAATGAGGATATTTGTCTTCTATGTCCAGCTCCTTTCACACAGATTTTTAGTCAGTGGGGCACACAGTATGGAAGTTATTGAAGAAAACAAAGTATTTAATATAAAAAAATTTTAAACTATTGAATATGACTTAAAATTTTAATAGAGGATAGTGTATCTCATGTAAAAGCATGAATTACCACTTTTTTGTATCAGTTAGTCACTATGGAAGCCCATATTGCTCTAATAGTGTCATTTTTATGGGCTCTAATTTTTCTTATCTTCCTCTTTGTAATACCTCATAGGTTCTCTATTATGGGGTTCCAAGCGAGGTCACTTTGCTAACCAATCAAGCACAGTTGCATGGCCATTAAACTAGTTTTTGGTACATTTGGGAGTGAAGACTGGTGAAAAGTACAATTTGAAAATGAATTTAGCATCTTAATAAAGCTTTTCTTGCCTCATTGGACACATTCTAATTAATTGAATATTAATTGTACAGTTCAAAGTTTTCCTTCGGTCCTTCTCCAGATTTCCCATTTTGACTTTGCTCTTCAGCAGGGCCTTTTTGAAATAAATAATATTCTTTTATCTATTACAGCCTTCTTCCTTCGGTTATGCTTCTTCTCCTCGTAGATCTTGATAATATAATATTCCAAAGTGTCTTTTATCTACAGATAGAGCTGTTACATACAGAATTTTCATGTACTGATTTAGAAATGCCTAGTTTAAGTGTGGTTGCTTAGATTTCTGAAGGGAATATTGAAATACTGATTGCTCTTGGTTAGAAAATTAAAAACAAGCTGCACCAAATTGGTGCAAATCTTTTTTTCTGCAAAGCTTTCCACAAATATATTGCCAGCTTTACTTGCCAGGCCTAAGTGGGCTCTGTAATTGAGAATGCATGATGGTCATGTGATTAAAAACAAACTGCAGCTTTTATTTTTGATCATTTTAACATTTCTTTCCACCAGTCTAAAACACACACAACCTAGAAAAGAAGAAACAAAATACTAATACCGCCCAAGTTAATAAGCAATATTTTAATTCCTGTCAATGGCAACACAATGAGCAGTAGACCAAAAAAAATGTAGGTGGAAGTTAAGCTTTTTATACCTTTACCTTTTGTAATTTACAGCACTATTAAAGTCAAAACAGCAACACACTTAAAATAATGAGTGATGACCAAACCTGGCTGTATTTGTTTAGTAAATGTTTTGTGAGAAGCAGTTTTAACACCTCACAACAATTATACCACACACAAATCCCTCTAACTAAAGTACAACTGTTCTTAACAGTTGTCCTGACCTTTAGTTCTTTTAAACAAATATTTCTTCCTTAATTTCTTCTGCATGCAACTTAGAATGAGTTTATTATAAGACTGTTTTATAATATTGTAGATTTTCTTTTGCCCACTTTTCTTTGCAGAGTTGTTTCAATTCAATGTCCATGAATGCTTAAGGTGACAGCTCTGTCTCTCAATCACAATTATCATCTTCTGAATATGCCAAAGTTTTAGTGGTGACTAGACCCATGATACACAGGCAGCAAGTGACTGTTAGATATTTCAATAAGAATAGCTGAACAGGTATTTACAGCAACTAAGGGATAATAGCAAGAATCAGGCAGGGAGCAATGGAAGGAAAAAACCTGCAGGATGAGAGAAAACAGTAGAAACCAGCAAGGAGTGAAGAAGAAAGAGGAGTTTAAGTACTGGGGAGTTTGATTACTGACCAGTGACAGCTGACTGATTGGAAACAAGCTGCAACTGAGAGTGGAAGCCAGACAGGCGGGCTGGCGGAGAGAGAGAGTGTAATGGTGCAAGAGGAGCAGAGGAGGAATAAACACAAACTGGGGAAAAGGCAAGACATAAATCCAATAATATCAATGAACAACAAACTAAATGCAAAAGAAGGAACTACCACAGAGGGATCCAAGCATCAGTTAATAAACAAGAGCTAAGGAAAAAGTAAGGCAAGGATGACAGAAACAGAAACGTGAATAACTAAGGCTGAGCACGAATAAACAAAAACTGATCAAAAATGCAAACACTGGGGAAATCCAAAAACCTAAACAACCCAGAATCCTGACAAAATATTCTTTATCTTTTCCTTTTGAAATGTTTTTACATTGGATGGTGGTGAAAAGAATTGTACTTTTGTCTCTTCAGTACACAGAGTATTTTCTAGAAAGTCTTGTGGATGGAACATCTTGATGTTTTATTTATATATATATATATATATATATATATATATATTTTTTTTTTTTTTTTTTTTACAATTCTTGTGTGGCTCATATACAGTGGATTCCTCCTTGGCGTTCATTCATTGCTCAGTCTCTTTCTTATTGTGGAATCATGACCACAAGTGAGACATTCAGGGCTTTAGATGTTATTGGTTCTTCTTTGACCTCCTTGATTGGTTATTGATTCACTCAGAGTAATTTTGGTAGACCAAAGTAGTGGGACGGTTTCCCACTACTTTGTGTTTTCTCCTCTTGCTGTCCTCTCACTGCACTTCACTAAGGTCTTAAAACTTTAGAATTTGCTTTGTAGCGAGTTCCAGACTGATGAACATTAATGGGTTTGCTTCTTGGCTGTTTTTGAATTTCTTTGCACTGTGTTCCGATCTGTTGCTTCTGTGACAGTTTTTGTCTATTCCATGTGGTCCGCATAATTCTGTTTTCAACTTTTCTAAGCAGGGCCCAGTAGTAAAATAAAACTCAAGTTTTCCAAGAAAAGTGGAATAATTGTTTATCAATTACTCATGACTTAACAACTTAATTTAAGAAATAAAAAAAAACCAGCATCTTGTTCTTACACAGGCTATATTTTTAATAGAAAAATTGGTTTAATGATCTTAAACGTGAAAGATTATGAAGTGCGAAATACTTATGCACTGCACTATTTTGCAGAGATAACACTACAAATAGTATTTTTGATTAATACAAAACAACCATTGAAAAAGCCCATACCGAAACCCGAATGGTACCCCAGCTGTAGGACGTGTGCATGCACAGACGACAGCGGACCAGGTGTGTTTTTGCTGTTTCCACAGGCTGACGTGGTGGATGTTAGTCCTGGGACACAGTACTCGGTGACCGTCTCTGCAGACTCTTCTTCTAAAAGCAGCCCTGGAGTCAGTCGCATGATCATTACCAACCAGAGCGGTGAGATGGTTTTACAATCAGTGCTCATTGTTGGATTTGTCTGATTTATTTAAGTGGTTTCAAGTACAATCGGGCTCTCCTCGTGTTATTGCCCTGCTGCTTCATGTATTCGCTGCACATGGCACACACACGAGGGAAAAGGATGAAGCTGAGCGGTAGAGAGCGCGTGAGGATGTGTGCACTTCCTCCACTATTTAATTCCTTTTAGGTAACTTTAGCCGGAGCTTTTGAACCCCTGGATGAATGCGTCTGGAGTGAATGTCAGTGAAATGCCACTGCTGTGTGAAGCCCTATTCATCAGACTTTAGCCACATAAAATGTACATGTTTAAACTCCCACACACACACACACACACACACACACACACACCACCTCCACTAAGATCAATTGAACTACTCTTTAAACAAAGTTGGTACTTTGTCAGTAGACTTTGCCGTAAGGATACTAATCTTTCAAATTCGTACAAAACACTTTCTATGGACGGTAATTTATTAGAAAAATTTATAGAGTGAGTAAATTCTAACTACATATTCAACTTTGAGATCCAACTTGAGTTAATTCACAGCTGGGCTTGTTAATGACAGACACTGGATGCTGCTGTTCTCCACTTCACACACTCTGCCTTCCTTTCCTGTAGTTCCCGGTCCTCCGCTGACCCTTGGAGGACACGCTGTTGGTTCTAATGGGATTCTGCTAGCCTGGACCATGCCATCTGATGCAAACAATATAGATGGATATGTCATCAGGTATTTTTTTTTTCCCTTCCGCATTATTGAGCATTTAGTTGACATCCATTTTATTTTTGCTAAAATCCAAAACATGAAAATTGCTGATTTTATAGATAAAGCCTACTTGTTTATCTCTAATATAATGTTCTGGTAAAGAAACAATTACATGACATGACATTGGCTTATTGTTACTTCCAAATCATGAGTGGAAATTAAAGATTGACCATAGTTTTCACCTTAGCTGTGAACTTTTTTATATTTCTGTAAAAAACTCAAACTCCAAATGCATTTAATTTCATGCAGATAAACCAGCACAAAGACAATGCATACATGTGAATGGTAAATGATTGCACAGTTCTCAACTTTTTAGACAAAGAAAAATCTGAACCTGGTGCTGGTGCATGGCACTCCTGTTAGCCTGGGCAACTGTGGCTACAATGTAACTTACCATCATTGGCATATCAATGTGTGTGTGAGTGGCTAAATGTAGTGTGAAGCTATTTGGGTCCCCAACACAGCTATTGAGATCAATCTTTCAGAATATATTTGCAGTAGCAGGAATATGTGTTGCTTTTTTTTAGTAAACAAATACAATGAAATCAGGTTATGCATTTTTTGTGTGTGTGTGTGTGTGTGTAAAACCATATTTTATAGAACTATTTAATTGAGCTTAAATATAAAATAGAATGATTAAAATAATCACATAAAATGATATCCAAGTGGATTGGCAACTGCTTTACACAGCAGTAAGATCATCTTGGAAATTCAAAAAAAATTAAAAAATTTTGCATTTTAAGTTCATAGTGTTTACAAGTGAAATCCAGAAATATGGTATTCTTAAAATTATATTTTATTTTTTTGTAGGTACAAGGAGGTTTGCCCGTATCCCGATCCCACTTTCACACAGGTGACCAAGTACCTGGATATACCAGAGACTCTGATCACCGACTTTACCTCAGGTTCAACGTACCATATCCAGGTAAGAGGAGCAATTTCTTTTTAATCATTTGTAGGTTAATTAATTTTGATGTACATGAACATCGGACATTAGTAAAAACACAAAACTAATTTAAGAGTTGCATATAGGTGTGAATTAACCTTACTAGTTTAAAGATGTAACGGTTCTTGTTGCCTCTGATCAAACATTCCTGGAAATTGCTCCACTGTCCTAGCATGTGGCTTTGTGACAGAGATCACAAAAGGAGGAGCCTATCCTCTTGATCTGGATGAATGCAGGTAATCAATCCTGATTGCATTATTAATCAAGTAAACAGATCTATGGATCAGCCCAGGCTCTTTCCACTGCCTGTTGTCACTGAACTTGAAAGCGGTCAAGCTTATTAGTTTTCAGAATCCATTAACCCGCCATGACCTTGATACAAATGGACGCAGAGATGACACACTTCCCGATTATATCTGCACACGCAGGATTTGTTTGAGGGCTCGTGTGGGATTATGAAAGCATGTTCATGTTATCGGGTTACTACCTCTCCCCTGCATTTGTGTTGGCTCTCCAATTTATGAATCCAGCAGCACACAATTCCTACTGGATCTCTGAAAGGGGTTTACCAGTTCTACTAGCAGAGGTCTTCCTGAAGGCCTATTAAAACATTGTTTTGTTTATGTAAGCAGAAAAATAGCACAAAACACACTGCCGTGTAGTGTTCATGCTCTCAAAAGCTTTTCCAATTTTGCCACATTGCAGCCCCCACCATCAACTTATTTTGCGTAACTGACAAATGCAATGCAGTGCGTTATTTGGAAGTGAGATGAAAAGATGCAAAAAAAAGTTTCTTTGGCTTGTACTATCAGCCCCCTTTACTTGGAAACCCTAAGAGAGATAACAAAAGAGAAACAATTATTTTTTTTAAATAAATAAAAATGAAACAAAGGGCTCTGTTCAGGCTTGTTAGAGAACAAACAGCATCATGAAGACCAAGTTTAAAGCACAGCTAAGTTATAAAGCAGCACCAATAAATCATTCAAAAACTGAAAGACTGGTACAGTTTTTAAGCTACCAAGACGTGTTTGTCCACCTAAGTCCACCTGTTGTGAAATGTGGTTGTGACAACAACATGCTATGTGTCTAATTTTCTTGAGCAAACACTGTGAAGGTTGACAGAATTGATTATGGACGGAGTTAAATACAGGGCAGTCATGGATGAAAATGTGTTAGAATCTGCATTGTCAATAGACAATAGGTAATGCAGCTTCATGGATGTGGAATGCAGGGATACTTACTGTCATGCATTTATCATAAACTAAGGAACTTTAATATAAGTAGCAGTTTTAGTGAATGTTTTATATGATGTTTTTTTATTCTTAAGTTACATTTTCTTTTATTTACTGGTTTGGGGTGTCAGCACTCAAAAAAAAAAAAAAAAAAAAACAAAAAAAAAAAAACATTCACCCCTTTTCCAATTTTTGAAAAAAAACTCCC